CTAAACCTTGAATCCTAAACTTTAAACCTTAAACGCTGCACCCTAAACCCTGAATCCTGAACCCCAGACTCTAAACCCTAAACCCTGAGCCCTAAAGCCTTTTTGGGCTTATAAGGGGACTCCTCTCTTGGGAAAACCCTCCGTGAGTACAGGTGCAGAACTCGGGTATGAGGAATTGGAGAAGATTGCTATTATTATTACTACGACTATTACTATTATTACTATGTTTAAAGCTTTGGGCGTATAGAGTTTAGGCTTAGTTCAGAGTTCAGGCCTATTTTAGGTTTCAGGGTTGAGGGTTTAGAGTTTTTTCGAGTTTAGTGTTTCCAGTTTAGGGTAGCTTCTGAAAACAGGGGGTCCCCTGCCAGGGGGTTCCATTATAGGGTTATCGAATGATCTATGTATATATATAGAGAGAGAGAGAGAGGGACAAAAAGGATAGGGATAGAGTGTATAGGTTTAGGGTTTAAGGTATCCAGAAATCAGGGCTCTGTCTTTGGGTGTTTTTAGAAAATTATGGCATGTGGGGTATTGTAATATAAGGAGGGGCGCCATTTCTGCAGAACCCCATTCGCGTTACAGCCGATTTGGTCTTTCTCCCATCCTATTCGTAGCTTCTGCTTGCCCAAGTGCATTGCGCTGAGAAACCTTTGGAAGAATGTATGTCTTCTAACGCACAACGACCCTGAAGACACCTTCTGTTGAATGCAGAATCAGCCCCGCTCTGCTTATCCAAGAAGACATACAGAACCATGCGAGGGGACTCAGCAGCAAACATGCAGAAGTTTTGAGACAACGAACACAGAAACGAATGCGGATGACCTAAACAAGAACTCATCACATGTTTGTGGAAGACCCGTATTGAATTCCCACACCCTCACGGCCATCAAGTATCTACTGAACCAATTCCTGGGCGTGCTAGGAGGCCTCAAAGACCCTCAGTAGCCCTGTACTTCGACGTTCAGGGTATTCACAGCCCAATGCATTAGAAGTGTCCTAAGGGGTTGGATTAATGTGGATTATACGTACCAATTGCAGGTGGGCTATGATCACGCTGAACCTCCGCGTACAACCCTCAAAAAGGACTGCTCATAATCAAGATCCATCAACAGTTTGTTGCCCTCTCATATGCGGAAAAAGGACCCTAAATCCTGAAGCCTATACAGCCTGCACCTCAAACGCCGAGGCCTTGACCTTAACACCCCCTACAGCTTAAAGCCCAAGCCTAGAACTCATATAATGCCCTTAATTCCTAACCCTACACCCTAAAGAGCGTAAGAACCTCAAAGGTTAAAAGCCCAAACGCTGAACCCTGAAGCCTACTCTACAACGAGCATATCCAAAATCCTACACGCCTACACCCGAAACCCTTCGTCGACGGTCAGGCGATTCAGTAAGTCTCCTCATCACTTATATCCACTTGAGGACCCTGGATCCTAAACTCCAAAACCTAAACCCTAAACCTGATGTAAGCTGTTATAGTAGCTTCCATTTTAGTTTCCATTATCCCAGTATAACCTAAACTCTCAAACCTACACCCTAAGCCTGAGCTCAGCGGCATCACGCCCATCGCCTTTGCCTTCTTCGCCGCGTGCATTAGAACTGCAGCCGACCAGAGACCTCTTTGCATTGAAGGCTTAGGTTTAGGGCTTAGACTTTATGCAGATTTTGTTTTTTTTTTCAATCGGACCTGTGGGGTTTAGGGCTTAGGGTTTAGGGTTTAGGCTATTAGGGTTTAGGTTCTAGGCTTTTGGGGTTTAGGGTTCAGGCTTATGAGATGCTTTACTGACGTACTTATAGCCTGCGCAGCTAAGGCTTCAGTTTAGGGCGGAGGGCTTCGAGAAACCTATCCTCACTTGCAGGGTTTGCTGGTAGTTGAACCCTAAACCCTAAACCCTAAACCCTAAACGCTAAGGCGCTATTCGTCGCATGAGATGCTACGACCAAGAGGGAAAATAGAGGACTACAACCTCATATTTCACATGCTAGTATACTGGGTTGGCCCCTAACACCCTTTGAAAAGTATGAATATATATAGGGTCCCCTATAAAAGCCATTGGGGAAAATATTAAATATCCCAGGGGCCTACCCAGTATAGAAGCTTTGAACAACTATGTATGCTGCACCTTACAAACCTATCTACTGCCAACTACAGAAGATGCCCCAAAAAATCTGGCCCTTGCATTACTGACTTGGGGTTTGGGATTCGGGGTCCAGACTACTGGCTGTGGCTGAAACTCATGGGATGCAGTTCCCTCTTGGCGACTTCCGAGACTTCTAGAGTCCTGGACCCTCCGTAAAGGTATTATAGAGATTATGTGGAAGGTGCAGGGTTTAGGGAACCGTTGGGTACGCCTTTGGATACCTCAGGCAAGGATCTTTAGGACTTAATATGTAGTGGCCTAGATGCTCTTGGAATTGTGGAGAATCAAATGGAAAACTAACTGGAGGCTGGGTTCATTGAGGGGCTTGATCTTCCGGGGAGAGAGTCATAACTTAGCAGGACCCCCCACCCTGTAATAGTGGTATAACAGCAATATGGGAAGACCCTAATATAATCCCTATTATCCCTTATAGTCACTATTACAGGGTGGGGGGTCCACCTAAGTCATAACATTAATGGGCCTGCGTCAACATCTGCACGGAAGTCTTTGTTGACTTTCTCCTGCGAAGGCACGTCTCGGGTACGGGTGTTGAGGGGTCTGGGTGTCGGGCTTTCAGCTGAGTTTAGGATACAGGACATAAGGCTGAAGGCTAAGATTCAGGGTTCATTAAGGGTTCTGGGTTCAAGGTTAAGCACAAAAAGACACTCATTTCTGTAGGATTTGGAAGGCAACTGCTCTCTGGAAGATCCATGATCTACCAGAGATCACTACCAACTTGAACAGAAGACGGTACTGGTGACTATCCCCAGAGCAGCCCCAAAAGAAAAGGCATTGCAAACCTTTCCAGATGCAGATTGCATAAAATAGATTGCATAGTTCAAGCCACATCTCTGAGCAAATGGATCGACAGCCGACAACTAAAAAGCAGCTCGTGATAGATCAAAACTAAACTCCTTCTAAGATTCTAGCTGACAGCCGTTACTTTGTGGATTCCCAAAAGACAAATCTTGAGAACCCCAACTAGAGGAGGGATGCCAAAACTCAACCTCCCCCAAACCCAAAACTGGAACCCTAGACCCCGAACCCTAAGCCCATAAACTCCGTGAACCCCAAACAATGTAACACCTAGACCCCAATTGCCAATCCTTAAAGCACTAAACCCCTAAATCCCTTGAACCCCAAACTTTTCACCCTCAACCCACTTGTGCTATCTTTCACTCTTGAACCCCTAAACCCTAAACCCCGACAACCTTAACCCCCAACCCCTAAAGTCAGAAACATCTAAACCATGCCCACTTAGCTCCTAACCCTAATCCGCCGAAACTCCCACCAACCAGCCTCCGTTGCACTTTCCATTTAAGGTTTCCGATTTAGGGTTTGTTCTCCAATGTTGGAGGCTTTGGGAAAAATATGCCTAGACCCTACGTAAACCCTAATATAGCAGTAAACTCACTAATCCCTAAACCCTAAGCCCTAAACCCTAAACCCTAATCCCTAAACCCTAAACCCTAATCCCTAAACCGTAAACCCTAATCCCTTAACCCTAAACCCTAAGCCCTTAACCCTAATTCCTAAACCCTAGACCCTAAACCCTAAACCATAATCCCTAAACCCTAAACCATAAACCCAATATGCTCAACGTACCAAGCTCTCCAGCCAAAGTAGAGGTTGGTTCTTCGTCGTCCACAGCAGCTTGAAGTGAGCACCTAAATGCGAGCTTCCAAGAATGGGCATGTAGGGCTTAGGGTTTGGGGTGGAGGGCTTAGGGTTTGGGGTGTAGGGCCTAGGGTTAGGGTTTAGAATTTAGGGCTCGCAGATCCCTTTTAGCTCCAGAGCATCGAACTGGAGATCATACGGTAAGGGGGGATTCTGTTTAAGGCTGCCCCTGGTAGGGGCCCCCACTCCTAGGGTCCTTTCATATTGAGTATGCACGCTACGAATAAAGTCCTACAAATGTTAGGGTAGGGAATTTAGATTCTGAGGGCCCCTCTCAGGTATCACGCCGGTGTCTTTTGAGAAACCTTTCGTAGGGATTGACTTACTGGTCCTTAGTCTGGAATACAGGAATAAGATTTTCAAAATCCCTACCCCAAACCCTGAAACCTAAACCCTAAACCCTAACAGAAGAGTGATCTATTCCTTTATTCCCTACTACTAAGCATCAATACGGCAAGGTTTAGGGCCGTCCAGCTTCAGGATAGAACTCTCTAAAAAATGGGATTTAGGGTTTAGGGTAAAAGTGTGGGCTTCAAGGATACTCCAAATCAACGTTGCAGGAAAATTTGTGACGTCTTGTGTATATATAGGTCCATGCGCTAGCCCCCGCAGTAGACAATCAAAGTAGCCTTTCTAACGTGTTTCAAACCCCACAACACCCTGAG